ATGTTTGCTATGAGCCTAAAAGGTATGGCGAGAAGGTGTGTTCACTTTTCAAACAACTTGTCTTACAAAACCATGCCAGCAAGGCGCGGTGTTCTCTACTAGCCTACATCATTGCGAAGCATTACAACAAGACAAAGCGTCTTTTCCTGTATGAATTTTACATTGTAAAAGAGCTACTAATGTCAACTCGCTTCGCAACCTAATTGTACTAATCATCTGTATGTAGGGTAATCGGCTTATTTAAAATAAGTAACTAGCACATAAAGTTTCGTTCAACTTACATAAACAATTCATGGTCCGTCAGTGCTTTGCTAAATGCATCTTGTGTAGGTGCCCTGCCTGTGATACCTTGCCATCCATCTTCACTATATGTTGCATAAAACGAAATACGTGTTATTAAAGGAGCAATGCTGTACCATGTATATTGCAGGCAGCTGCCGGACATAGCAAACAATTAAAATAGTTCAGTTTGTTACATTACGGAGTTTAACGAACCCCGACGATGACGGCAGTAAAAAGTTACAAAGAAAAAAAAATTTGGGGGTCCTTTTAAATTTCATGCGTCTTTTTAGCCTTTCTCAAATTGCGAAATGTAGGGGAATTTCCCAGGAGTTCAATTCTTAACGACTGTATCCAAGTAAGAAAAGAAAAATTCGTCATGGCGTATTTATGTCCTTCTTGCCATAAACGTTCTCACCACGAGGTTTCACGTTGTATTCGTGAAATGGACGTCATCAAAATGTACCAAAAAGTGAGCAGAACTGTTTTGCTTATAAAACCATCCTTGTTGCTGTCATCTTTGCTTAAGTTCCTCATTTTTCAAGTTCAAGTTGTTCTACGATTTGCGTGTTTCACAATTCATACCTTTCAAACCATTTCTGGAACATCTTCTGCGTGTTGGGAAGGTTATTTTGTGGGTTGAGCGCATAAAATGTTTTGACAGGATCCACATTGGTCAATTGTTGTTGACAGGATACCTGAAAATACCACAAAAGGTTTCATGCATACAAGCACGTTCATTTCTTTCAGCTCTAGCATCAAGAAGAGCCAAGGGTTAACAGTAAAATGACTTATTGATAAGGAGCAAGTGCTATAGCAAAACATATTGCTCTCAACAATGGAATCCCTCATTATTAACTGAATGCAACGCGTCAAAAGTTAGTACCCTCTTTACCACTACAAGAATACGTCCCAACTGTTCTTAAGCCCTTAATTCATTCACCTGATGAAAGGTTGACTACACTGCCACCGACTCATATATTCCAAGGTCTACATTCTGCTCAATTATTTTAAGATCATGACTAGTGATCCAGCCGGGAATCAGGAGCCCGGGCATATCACCCTCTTGCACTTGCAAACACGCAGTTGAGAGTACCAAGCAGATAGGTACTTGACCATTTCTGAGATTGTGAGGCGATAATGGACTACGTAAACGAGTTGGGGCCTTCATGCTTTGAAACCTTGTGTGCGGGATTAATGGCTAACTCGGGTAGATTGGCAAAGTGGTACTCAGTTTAAGAAGCTAGCTGGCCCAAGGTGGATTCCCCTCGACATCCCAGTCACCCATCCCATCATGTAACGATAATACAGTGAACTTTTCTACTATTTATTTCTCATTTTTTTGTCAGCAGCACGCCTGCATTTTACCTTTGATAGCAGAAACTGCAGAGAAGGTACTCGAGTCACAGGATGGTCAAATAGCATAGGTATACTTTCCCAAGGGAGATGCTGAATATCCTGTAAAATAGTAGAAATATAGACGTTTTCATAGCTACTCCCACTTTATTTTTTCACAACCACTAGGTCTTGATCAGTGTACTAGTCAGAGCCAAAATAATATGCCTCCTTACCTTGCCAAGAATAAGAATGACAGGATGACGAGTAACCACTTCTGAGCTGCTTACGGTCCGGTGAAAAAAATGAAGAAAGATTTACGTTAACTAATTTTAAAAGCACATACATCATAAATGATCGTTACAGAATACATATACATCACAAGTGACAGGAGTTACATCAATTTTCTCGCACCTATTTTGGCCAGTTTTCTTGCTAACAGACGAAAACGAGTTGCTAGTGATCTCCTCTAACTCACGAAGAATCTGAAATCCAAAAAAAGAACACTAGTTAAGAATATCTTCAACGAGGTTTTAACAAAATACATTCAACAGAAATGTACTTTATAAAATTATCATAAAAACATTTGAGGTTACTTCATTCAAAGAGGCAGATTTGGGATCTATGCCAGTGATCTCTGAAATCGCATCGGCTTTCTCGTATCTTGACAAGTGGGATGAAGAATCAACAAGAATCTGAAAGAGATATAAGCACATTTAAACTGATGAAAGAGAGAGCAGCAGCCTTTCAAACCATTGTAGTTTATATTGCATTTACTTAAAAGCAGAATAATGCTATAGACTACAGTTACTTTCTTCTCCAGGTATGGTTGACAATGATCCTTAAAAAAATGCACTTTAGTTGAGTGTCAATGTATTTAGCACGAATGTACTAATTGGGGACACTATTTTTTACGTGGTCATCCGAGCCACTCGAGGGTCGAGCCTCTTGCAGTGCAAAGGGAGTACGTTCACTTCTCAGTTATTTTAAGACCCTGGCGGAGTATTGGTCAGGCCCCGGGAATCGAACCCGAAACCTCCCGCTTTGCAGTCACACGCTCTACCGACTGAGTTAACACTGACGAGGTAAACCAAAGTTTACCAAAGTTTAGGTAGTGAACTAAAACAAACAACGTGGGACACATATTCATCAAAATGTGGATGTAACTTACTCTACTTTCACACCGAACTAGTAGCGGCAAAGAGAAAATGTTAATCAACGTTTCTAAGAGGTCATTAATACAGTTGGGCTGGGAATCAGAGTGATAAACCACGCATGGATTGGTCTTAAGAATGACCATTTTGTTCGCATTACCTCAAGAAGTTGTATATCTGGAGGACATGCACACAAATTAGTGATTTTTCCTCGTAACTGCCTGGCAGCGGACACTGTTGCCTCTTGATGATCCTCGCTGATTGGCTGACCAAGAAGAACCCCTTTCCATCTTCCAAGCCAGCAAGATTCAAGCTTTTCCAAAAGGATCTGAGTTAAGGAATTGTCAACCAAAACGACGATAAATTTAAGACAACTACACACAGTGAAGAGCACGTAGAATGTGTCATTTGAGCATCATTGACGAAATCGTTTCCAGACAATTTAGCCTGTGAATTTCATAATAGACAAACAAATATGAAATACCACCGGTGAGTCACTGGGTAGTGAGGTTAAGCCACTGGCTTTGTCTCTCATCCTTACTTATCACGAGTAGGGGACCTAGATCCCGGTAGCGTGCTCCATCGTTCGAAAGGGGGAGGGGTTCGTCACTGGCTACAATTATTGGTTTAACGCTATTGCAGTTACCCTGCCAAGAATTTGCGAATTTAAATCTCATTCTGAAAGTTGTACCTTCATTTTGGAATCTAGCCTGGTTCTCTGTGCCCACCACTCTGAAGTGTTACTGACACTCATGCTCTTCACATTGTCAGTCATAAGTTCATTAAACTCCTCCAACAGGCTGAATTGAAACAGCTTACATAGATCCATAACTACATCATCTGCCTGTAACAGAATACAAAATCGCCACTTAATCACTACTTCGTAAGTCTAGCCTAAAAAACTTTGTGACTTTCACAAAAAAACATTCTTACTTCAAAGTTACGGCGTATTGGAACTAAATAATACTCCTAGTCCTATAAATGATTTTCACTGACTATACAGACTGCATTTTTTGCTTCCCTTCGTAGTAGGAAGCATGAAAATGGATCAAGTAAAGAATATTGCTCCTGTGACTGTGGCGACTCTGCAATGTTGTGACGTAAATTGTTGGCTGAATGTGTCTTTTTACTTTTGGATGTGCCAGTCTTTCATTCATCGTTCGTTTTGAACGTTTTCGTTTATTTGATATCCGCTACCGAGTAGGTCTATTATACAAACTTAGTTCTTGTATGGAATTTGGGGTGGCCACTAAGTCAAATTTTAAACCCAAAAAAAGGACAAACTTTAATTATCAGTGAGATGACTATGGGGTAAACCCACTGCAAGTTTATTAGTAGATACAAGTGCGGAAATAAGGTTTGTGAGACCTTTTTCTTAATAAATTGTAAAAGACATTTTTCACCCGAGAAAAACAAGCAGGCCATTTTCGCGATCGCGACAAGTTGACTTCAACAACCAGAATTCATTTCATTTTTGCTTTCTTATTCAACTTTCATTGTCAATTCCACTGAGGTTTAGAAAACAATAGCCCTAACTGGAACAAGAAAACTACAAACTGAAGGATTGTAAGAAAAAGTGTTCATGGTACAAATTATATTCCTTTTGAAGCACGTAAAAAAATACCTCTTTTTCCTTTACATGTTCCTCTCCTAAAGTTGTGTTGATCTTCACCAGCACGGGTTCAGAGCCAGATCTGATCCTACAGATCAGCAACTGTCTTTCTTGCTCTCCAGGAAGCTTAAAGGACTCCAGTGTACACACCGTCCACTCTATGAGGAAATATTTAATTTTTTTAAACACACAGGTCATTCGTAGCTTGACGATATTGCGTTTTACGTGACTGGCATGCAATATTTACAGTCAAATCTCGCCTTGCGGACACCTCGCTATAACGGACACCCCGATAAAACGGACAGCAGCTAAATCCCAGGAAAAAACAAATTACAGACGTTTGACTGAAATAAACTCCCGCTATTACGGACTCTCGCTAATGAGGACATTAACTAGAGGTCCCTACGGTGTCTGCTATAAAGGGAGTTGACTGTATAAACTAAATTCAGAACTAAAAAACATATTTACTATAACAGTTAAAAGTAATCGGAGAATTTAAGTATGGTCCATCCTAAAATTGTGCCAAATTAACATCATAAATTAAAAAATTCCTTCCTCAAGTCACCAGAAAAAAACTATTTTCAATTCAAGTAACGTACCTTTTGGAATGTCCTGCAAAAGAGCAAGTTCTTCAGGGGAAAACAGAGACGTCAAATCCCCACCTCCACGGGAACTTGAGTTAAACTGCATTATGCTTCGGGTTTTTAAAAGATGTGCTAACTTGTTTTTATCCTCAGGTTTAATTCCTGACAATGAACAATCATTGATTGACAAAGAGGACAGTTCCTTGGCAAGTTGCTCCATGTCTCCATCATGCTCCTGATACAGAGAGAGAAAAGAAAAAGATTCAGTCATAGAACATATGAAGAAAATATAGATTTTTGACGTTGTCATGGTGCCCCCAAAATTAGCGGTTCTCGCAAGGTCTGCCATGAACAGCCTTACTAGAGGGGGCAGATCGGGGTGGGGTACTTAACAGAGGATTTACGGTAGTAGTTCCTAGCCATTAAAGCAAGATCAGAAGCTACATTAGAAGGACGCGTAACACACTGCTTATTTTATGTATATTGACTTCTTGTGAAAGAAAAAGAGTTGTTCTGTTCATGGAAAGTGTCCAAATGTTTCTGTTAAATTCTAAGTTAAATATTGGGCCATTTTGAGACTCCGAACTAAAAAAGCGTTCGCGTTTCCCGTTTGGCGGAACATTATCTGCATCAGGGGTCAAATGTGGGCGAATTCTCCTGGAGTTAAATTCCTAAGAGACATATCCAAGTTCAGAAGGAACGTTGTCGGATCCTAAGGTCCATTATATAGCAACAAGAAATCTGCAAAGGCATATGAAAGGCAAATACGTTTGAAACGGGTGTTCTCATTGCCTTTTTAAGCGTGTGGGATAATGTGACCAGGTTTTGTGTGATACATACCACTGACAAGGCAGCTGTCATACCTTTTGCTGTTCTCCTAAGGTAAAATAAGACATCGATATTACAGGAGGTCAGGAAGATTGAACTACCTAAAAGGTAGCATTAAGTTAATTTTTTACACAACGTTCTTTACTAACTATTCATGGGAATGACTGTCAGCACTCAATCCACTTCTTCCCTTCTCAACTTTGAATTACTTTCATAATGAAAAGTGCACGAGGTAATGAAGGTGAACTGTCTTTGAAAAATCATAAGTATCATTTGGATATAGTATTGGGAGGGAAAAGATTTATAATAAAATCCTGTTAATACGACCACTTCTGGGCCATGAAAATCTGGCTGGATTAGGAGGTTTGCAAAAAGATAAAATAAAATAAAAAGGAATTTTAGGGACAAATTAATGTGTTGGTAAAGTGGTTGTAAGGCAGGGTTCCACTTTATTTTTCCAAGCAGGGTTGTCACCAAGATTTTAAGTTGCAGGGTAAACTATATAAGTTAGCGGGGAATCAAACAGCTAAGGATTTCTTTTGGTTCTATTTTTCCTTCTATTTTCCTGCCACATTCGTAGTAGCAGGGGGAAATCCCCGCCCCCCACCTCTTATTAAAGCCTTCTTACTTGATTCTCTTTCCTGTACTTGTAACAGCTTGGTGTCTCAATGTGATGGATGATGCCAAGTTTAAGTAGTACATGGAGAGTTGGGGTGCTGATCTCCCATGACAGAAAGCTAGTCCACGACAGATGTCAGAGAATAGGGCTGGTGGAGGATAAACTTGGCAAAGAACAAATGCTTCATTCCAGTAATGAATGGTCTGTTCCATCCATTTGGGAGCTGATGAGATGATAGAAAATAATTATTTATGTTAGGAAAAGTACATAAATAACATTTTCATGCTATAACCATAATGATTCAACACGCTATTTCGTTGAGCTTTTCAATTCCAAACATATCAAAAGTACAGGAGAATAAAAAATATTCCATACAAAAGAACCGCTACAGAAGGTTGAATGCCACAACCGAGGATTTGTTTCACTGAATCAAATAGAGCGGTTTTCATTTGAGTGTCGAAAAGTAATTGGTTTTGCACTTTCTACACGATGCGATTGGCTTAAAAGATTCGCGTCACCTTTTCATCCAATCAGAAGTAAAACCAAAGCCAATTGTGACGCGCTCGCATGCATTTTCCCGCGCTTTGCGTCAGCCACATGTAATTACTTCGAGTTTTGATTGGTTCAATGTATTGTCTGTGTCCTATGTGATTGGCCAGAGTAATTACTTTGGTTTTGGTTTTACGACACTCAAACGAAAACCACTCTATTAGGACTATTAGCTAAAATCGATTTCTGCTAAGTGGGTTCCACTCAAATAGTAACAACTCAGAACGTTGTCAACAGGCAGAAAGTAAGAACTAGCAAATGTCTAGTACCACCCAAAGTACTGCTGAGAGGTTTCAATTTTTTTTTTGGAAATCACCCATACGTATTTTCAAGTTAAATGTATAAAACACATTAATCCTAGGTTCCTAACATTCTGGGAATAAATCAAAGGCTTAAGATAAAAATTGACAGACCAAAGGAGCACCAGTGCCTTAAATGATTATGCACCCAGAAGCCAAATTTCAGTTACAATACGCAGCAATCTCATTCCATGGTTCACTTTAATGGAAAGAAAAGTTAACAAGAATGGTCTTCAATGAAATAAGTAAGTTTCAGGTGTAATAATCTGACCTGTTTTATGACCATACACAAGGTTGGAAGGTTGCTTTGCAGACCGTGTTGGTTTTCTACGTCCCTTTGTCTTCCGCTGAATATTTGCCTCAGAATCATCACATTCTGCCAGGGCCTCCTCTGCCTTCTTGCTTCTTCCTCTGTCTTTTGCTCTTGAAGATGTTGGCCTGCTGCTGGTATCCTCTGTGGCTGATTTCTCTATAGGTTTAGAATTTCTACCTCTTCTGCCAGAAGCCTTCCTTGGCTTCTCCACCTCACATTCTTCAACTATGTCAACTTTAGAGGAATCAACTTTCTCTACACTGTTTTCCAAAGAGCTAATCTTTGACTCTGTTTCAGGAAACCAGTTACAATCTAAGCAAACATCTTTGGAAGAACCCTTGTTTAGAAGCAATGTGGCAACACCAGACATATAAAGGATGGAAGCTTTCATGGGTAACAAGTGCATAGGATTGTATCCAACAGAATTCTCTGCACAGTGTTGGATTTCCGTTGCTTTTAAGAGCACTTCATTGGCTTCCTCAATCTTTCCCATTTGCAGTGACAGCTCTGCACTCATGCAGTAGAATGAAGCAAAATACTGACAAAACATTAACTGTGAAACAGAACAACTTTTTAGCCCTGAGTCCTCTTTCTGTTTTCTGCCTTTTGTAGACTTTGCTTTTCCTTTCTTCTTTGTCTCTTTCAAAATCCCTTCACTTGGAGCACTACATGCACAACCACATAAAATCATGCCAAGTCTCTGGACACACATCGCCATTTTCTTTTCAGCACACTGACACACTGAATGCACCAAATCTAAAGCCTCCCCTGATTGCTCGGGTATTGAAACATACAAGAGATATTTGGCAACACTCAAAGAGTACCTAATCAGTATGTTGTGAAGTGTTGTATCAATACAATTTACGCATTCGCATGTCTCTGGATGACCAAGAAGAAGAGGTTCTTGAATTTCATTTTTGGCAAGCTTTGATCGGCTGGAAGGTTTCAAAACTGGTTGTAGGAGTCCATTAAGCTGGTCAAGCCGACTTTCACACTTATCACCCTTGCCTTGCTTGAGTTCCAAATGAGTAATGTTAATGAGAAATTCTGCAATCCTAAAGGAAAAGAATTATAAGTTCTATCAACATGTAATCAGGTCGAACAATATAGGCGGCAATGTTACATTCCCTTACGTAGTTTGCGCAAAATGTTTACCTCCCAAGCAAAATGAAAATAGGATCTAATGGCCAGTAATTATTCTTTTGCCATATAGACATCACCAATAACAGTGATTTCATTTTAGCTACTTCCATGCTGAAACCTTGCAATTACATTATGTATCTATAAAAAAAAAGAGCTTAAAGCCTGTACGAGAGAGAAAAAGAGAGTAATTTTGTTATAAATGGTTATGGTGAGTTCTGGGACTCATCTTGTGAAAAATCATGAGTCCTTGAGTCCAAAAAAGGAGTCCTAAATTGAAAATGCTTGGGCCTTTATGTAACCAACAATTAATCCAGAGACAGACGCCAAACCTGTTTATTACAGTTTACTGAAATTAAAATATAGTCCTTCTATATATTTAAAGCACAAAAAAGACTCAAATAAATATGCATCTTTAAACAACAGCCACAGAGATCCCACGAACAGGATATTATACCAAAAAACCATCTTCAAATCGATTGATCGTTCTTTGCGTCCTACAGGACGCATTTCATGAATTAGTTTACGTCTTTGGGGATTTTTATGCATCAGGGACGCAGGACGCAGAGGAAACAAAATCACGTCTTTCAAAGACCAACAAAATGAATTCATTTTACTGCCTAGGGACTAACATAGCATTACAGTACTGCTGAAAATGAACAAAAAAGTGCGAGATAATTACGGCTGACTACTGTGTATTGGATCAGACAATCTAAAACAGGGCTGGTTAAAGAAAAGCATTATAATGAATACCTGTAAGGTAGAGCAAAGTGTCTTGCCACAGTTAGACCATCTACAAACTGCCTGAATGCCTCTCTTACAGCACCCTGTTGGGCATATAACTGGCCAACTTGTAGTAATGAAGACAGAAGCTCATTCAGGAGTGACATATGGAAAAGGCTTTGATTGACACTTGGGAGAATAAGAGGGCCCTCGGCTGTAAAAATTGAAACAAAATAAAGTCCTTGAAAGTGTTGTGAGTTAGTGTTGTTGATGATAAGAAATGAACATAATTGTAAAAAATTAATCACACGCATGAAATGAAGATGAAAAAGAGCAGGGAAAAATTCACTTCCCCTTGGAAAAAAAAATCATGTGGCTACAATTTGATCCATTTAAGTTTGAGACCTCTTTAAACATAAGCAAACACACTTTTGCAGTTGTTAAGTTTTGGTGAACGAATGGTGGTCCAACTGTAAAGTTATAGGTTGCAGTTTGATATCCTTGTAAGCATTTAACTCAAAATCAAGGCAAAGTAGGAGGCAGAGCTTTACTTTTTGCTCATTCAATAATACAGTGTTTTGGGAAGGGAAAATAACTGTTGCTGAATGAAGAGAAGGGAACAGCAGGCACAAAAAACAAACATGTCTGACAAACTATTCAGTGACATGTCCTGAGAGGTGATAATTGCAGGCTAACGTTATGATAGAAGAGGGTCATCTTTTTACCTGACACATTTTTATTCTGTTTGCCCTTCTTTCGCCCACTGCTGAACACATCCTTTCCAAACACCTCCTCAGCCATGTGGCTTAACTTGTGAAATCCATCAAGAGCACATTCCAAAGCAGTTAGTGAACCAACAACAGGATCTTCACAAAAGAGCAAGATTATTCATGATAGAGTCAATGGGTGCATTCCTTTGTGATGATCTGAATCAGGATCAGTGATCTGAGATCACTCGGATCATGGTAGATCAAAGGAACTGATGAATCCACTCTGAACAAGGATTCATCAGTTCATTTGATCTACAATGATCGGAGTGATCTCGGATCACTGATCCTGATCATCCCAAAGGAACGTACCCAATATTCCCTTAATGGACACCTTACTAGATTCAGTGTTCAGGCCATTATTCAATATTCTGTTACATGTAACCACTCCATGACAAGTTTGGTACATTTCCACGCAAGGGTCCAAAATTAGATAGTTGATCTCAGATTTTTGGATTTCTTAAGGGAATGTTGGGAAATCAAAAAATCTCAAAAAGATTTTTCCTTTGACAGTTGATGGTTTTGATGTCAGACAGCCACCTTTTCCAATGCTAAACATAAAAAATGCTGAGATCAAAAGCTGTAAACTGCTGAACTGTAAATTAAAGCAAATATATTTTTTATGTTTTCAGAACTATCAATGTTTTTTTTACTTTTCCTAGCCAAATAAATTTCTTCAAAAGAATGGATTCTCGAGTATTCCAGCGGTACTTGCAGAATCTGAGGTGGTGAGATGGTTGGCCTCATATTTTTACAGGAAATCCTGGTCCTTCTTTGGATCCACGAGCAAAGAAATGCAGAGATCATAAAACCTAAAAAATCGCAATTTAATTTTACCCATGACTATGCTTTTGGCCCAGGATTCATAAGATGCAAAACTTCAGATTTTGATTTTCCAAGAGAAATAAACTGTTGGTACATAATCCCCATTGTGATGTTGCTCTAACTAGAATATACATATTACTAGAATACTAAAACAACACTGATATTACTGGTAAATGATTAAATTGAGTTTTTAACTCACCCAAAGTAATGCTGAATTTGTGTAGCTTAGCTGGGAGCATGGAGTATTTCGCACACAAAGACATTAATCTGGCCTTCAGTAAATGGGACCTGTAGCTCTTCTGAGTCAAAGCATCACTCTGTAACACTTCCATTAAACACTGCTCTCCTTCTGAGTACTAAACACAGGAACAGATAATTATGTTTAGTTTAGAGGAAAACAAACAGTCAGTCAGATACTGATAAATGTGAGGTTACACTCTTAGAGGCAGGACTGGTAGCCAAGGCTGTGCTCTGAGAAAACATTGACAGAAACCCAGTGATTTGAACATGTGAAATCCAGGGCACCTGTGTGGAGCACAAGGATTTTGTTACAAATAGTTATGGTGAGTCCTCAGACTCATCTTGTGAAAAATCATGAGTCCCAGTCCAGAATCATTGAGTCCTAAATTGAAAATGTTTGGGCCTTTATGTAACCAGGCAATAAATCTGAAGACAGACTCAAAAGCTCTGTATTAAAGTATACTGAAATTAAAATTTGTCCTCCGTTTTAAAGCACAATGAAGGCTAAAAGAAATATGCATTGTTAAACAACAGCCATAATAACTGCCACAAAAATTACACAAACGGGCCGGATATACACATCTTGATATCGATTGTTATCATCCTTTGCATCCTACGGGACACATGCAATGGATTATCTTGTGTCTTTGGGGATTTTTATGCGTCAGGGACACAGGATGCAGAGGTAACAAAATCACTGCTAGGACAGGATTGCTATTAAAGAACTATTCCCCGCTAAAGCACAACCTTGGATAACCAAATTATTCTGCCAGTATTTTGATAACATACTTAAAGGCAAAACTCACAGATGGAGTATCTAGAAACATGTTATTTCTAAAATGCTACAGTGAAGGACCCATGGGCCACAACCATTAGCTTAATCCAAGGGTTAAAGCTGACAGAAAACCCTACTGGCCCAGGTCCACTCAGCCTGTAACCAGCCAAAAGCCATGTGCACACATGCAAATCAGCCCTGGACTATATCACAATGATGTTACAACTTTAATGAGGTACCAGTACTTGTAAGTAAATAACAATTTAATCTAGGTGGATATTTTAAGTTGCTTGCGAGCTTTTATGGTATGAGACTATTGATACCCTGGATAACAACATCTTAAGCTTGTACATTGCAACATTTTGTGCATCACTATTACTCTCTCAGATTAAAAAGGCATGAAAATGCAAACTACTTGAAAATGACAAATCAACAGTGTAACAGAGACTGTAAGTATTACATCCATGCTTTTGTATATTACCTGTATACACAAGCACTAACAAACATAATTAACAACTGCGTCGCTGAGTGGAGGTGGGTGCCCGGGATGTCCAGGGGCTTCCACCTTGGCAGGGCCAGCCCCTAGACAGAGTAACGCCCCCGTGGCTGGCAAACCTGTGCCCTCCAGCCATGAGCCCCCATGCCAAAGGAACCAGGCACTTGTCACACTGATTTAACAGTTGAAGAATTAAGGGGGGGAGGGATGGGGGTTTTTCTTACTAGGTTTCCGATTTGCTTCTCTTACCGGCGGTGCTTTTGTGACATGACTCGTGTACCTCCACTACGTTCGTTCCGACTGGCGCGAACTCGGAAACGACTGACTGCTGACCACGCTCGCGCTCCTTGTTGTTAACTCTGTTAAATAAATATTTATTTAACCTGATATAAATTTTATAACAGACTAGATTACACTGTAAGTAAGTAGCTCTTGGCTTTTAATCAACAATTATTCCATGAGTGTGCATTGGATATGAGATATGGTAGATAGCCAATGAGGCGTGTAGCGCCAAGTTGGCTATAATCATCTCTTATCTAACATTCGCAAGTGGAATAATTGTTTTATTAAAAATGCCCACAAAATATCAAGAATTCTTTCTGACTTTATTTGTAAAAACAACCGATTTTCAGCTTGGTTTTTAATTTTGAGCAGCCGTGTACAACTGTACAGTTACCTTATTTGGAGAGCATGGTATATAGCTCGTATACCATGATGGCTAAGCCAATTTGATTCAGTTTTTAATAGTTTTCATTATCCCTTGTGCTTAAAGGAATGAAGCAAAAAAATGATTCAGGAACAATAGACCTTTTTACCGATACGGTGGCCATATTGAATTAATTCGATTTAAGGAGTATTATAGGATGCCAGGGGGCTTGAGCACATTTCGTTTGTATTTTTGAGCGCTTTTTGGGACTTTTTCTTCAAGTTTTCTTAGGATAAGATTGTAATGGCAGAGAAGATCCTTGTGCCGTGTTTGGATGTAATAATGATCGCCTTTTTCTAGTTTAGTATTAGAAATATGGCCTTTCACTGTATATTTCTCGGGAAAAAGGCGATCATTATTACATCCAAACACGGCACAGGGATCTTTTTTCCCATTGCAATCTTATTCTCAGAAAAATTCAAGAAAAAATGTCCCAAAAAGCGCTCGAAAATACAAACGAAATGTGCTCATGCCCCCTGGGCATCCGATAATACTCCTTAAATCGAATTAATTCAATATGGCCGCTGTATCAGTAAAAAGGTCTATTAGCTCACCTTTCCTGCGACTAACAGATAGTGACTCTTTGCCAACAGAAACTGGACCATAACTGAACCACTTGGTTCAAAGGTTTCCAACACATCACTGGTCTGATGCAGCAGAAGACTGGCATGAGAAATGTCCAGTACATCACACAGAGTATGAACAGCTTCACTACAGGCAGATATTCTATTATCCAGCATACTGTTGGTGCTGATCATTTGGGCAATGTTAGCAGCAAGATGAAGAGCACACACCTTCTTGAATGGCTGTAAAAAGTTACAAATTACTCAATGAATGGTTGCAAGGAAACAGTTTACTGTAAATCCTTCTCCTACTGTAAACACCCAGAGGGTTTATTTATTTGACGCACATTTGCATATTTTGTTTCCAGATTATTTCAAACTCCTGAGGTTGGATTGATGGACACATTAAGATATAAACTAGTTTCCCAAGGGATGCTGCAAGTCACTGAAGTAGATAGCGCATGATTTTCAGATGTTGATATGATTCCTTTCACCCTCAGCGACTAATTCTAGAAGGTTATTTAATCTTGTGATTAACTTGTATTTATATGGTCTTTTCATTGAAAACATGTTTTGATTTTTTTAATGAGCACTGCTTTTTCAACATACTACAGTTCTTGTTGTTCTTTAAGAACTCATCAAGCAGAAAGAACCTAACACAGCTTGCGTGAGACAGTCCCCAGAAACAGCCTTCTATTTCCTTTCAGTTTACCTGGTTGACAAGTCCAAACATTCCAGCAATAATCAGAAGGTAATGGCAAGTTTCCTCAGGGTTAACAAAGTGTTGCCAGTCAATCTGCAAAAAGAACAACAGATATTACTTAAACTAATCTACAGTATTTATGCAGACTAATCAAGTTTCCAAACTTTTCATGTTTTAACCTGTGAGTAAGTTTTTAGTGGATGAGAAAAAAGAGAAGTGCTCTCTTTTCTTGCATCTGACCCAGTAGAGATGTATCATAAAAAAAACAAACTTCAAAATAATAATGCCCAAACTCTACCTTTCTGCCTGTCCCTTCTTGCACTGATCTATTTGCTAACACTGTCCATGTTTCCAATGCTGAATGAAGGGATGACATAAATGGCTGCTCCAGACATATGCCTTCGACCTAAAAAGAGAAGTAAAATTATATAGGAATAAGTTTATTATGTAAGTTTGCAATTGGGTGCCAGTGGAAAGGGACTTAGGGTGGGGAGCTAAATTACAAAAGGAAATACAAAGGTAAGCAAAGGGAGCAAGGGGTACACTGTATCACACCTGACCACCCCCAGCCCATTCCCATATAATTATTTCTGGCCTTGGTTGTTCAAACGTTAGATAGGGCTATTCACTAGATAAATCACTATCCAGTCAGTGGATCAAATAACTAACAATTGTGCTATCCACAGGATAGTGATTTATCCAGTGGATAGCATTATCCACCTTTTGAACAACTGGGGCCAGATTTGCATACCCTCTGAAGAAAAAAAAACATTTTATGTACATGTACCCCCTCTGTTTCATAACTTTCACTGAGCTCCTCTGCTGATTTTGCCTCTGGTTTGTCTTCCATTGTTGCTTTGTGCTCTAACAATGCCTGCCATAAATATGCTGCAGCAAGTCTGTCCTGCACAAGTGACAGGTGATTTTTGTCCTCATCTGTGTTAGCTGCTGTGTCTGCCAGCCGCTCCAGAATTGCAGCTGCTTCTTGACAGCACTCAAGTGCAGACCTAGAGCAAGGAATATCACAATGTTGAAGGCTATTGTTGAGGGCTGGCTGGGGATTGGGGTATTGCCCAATTAGAGATATGAACCATGAAACATCCTTCTCTCCACTTCAACAACCCTGATGACACTTCATTATCAATTAATATCACAAGAGCATGGAATCCACAGAGAATTGATACCAAAATGCGTCACTTGTATTCAGTCTGTACTGTGTAAAGTTCAAGCAAAGAAATACAATAATACTAAAGTGACTGGCTTCATAATGGGCCATATAACCCGGAATGACATTATAAAAAAACAGCTGGCTGAATGTCCCTTTACCTTTACCACAAGTTAATGTATTTTTGCTATTCCAAAGTCATTTACCTATGTGTAAGACAAATGCCACATACTAAACCAAAACACACATAAGCAGTAGACTCACTTCTCCTCCTCAAGATCTTTGTCTCCAAGGTCATGCAGTGCTACACCAAACTCAAGCATCACTGAAGCATAATGAAACTCATCATCTTGGATAATATACAACTCCATAAGCTGTCTGATGACAGAAATTTGCTCCATGGTGGTGTCATAACTAGAAATAAGAGAAAAAATAGACCACTAAATGGTGTACAATACTGGGCAGAGTTTTTCAAAAAAGAATTGGGATAAAGGATAACCCAGGATCATCTTTGTCGGCGTCAACAACAGTCCTATTATATTTAGGACAACACTCACCCCGAACCTACTTATGAAGTGACTCCTGAGTTCAAACGAACCCCTCAAATGACAATTGAACACACATGTATTAAGGAAAAAACTTTTTTGGGAGACTGAGTACAGTATATGAAATAAAAGAGATCTTTTTTATGAAACCTCATCATCAGCATAGGGCTGTCGCTAAAATTTCAAGTTGTCGGGTATATCTACAGTTATGTAATTAGTAGAAGGGGAATTGTCGGCTAGGAAGTTCTTTTGGTTCTACATAATTTATGTATTTTACTTTTGTTTCCTATGAGAGTAGCTGGGGCTCACGCTTAAACATGTAGTTGCGTCAGCAATACATGCACATGTACACTGTACTTTCACATGACCTTACAGTGTTACCGGGAAAACTCTGAACACTTGAAATATCTCAAGAATGTTTATTCTGTTACGACCAATCACAGCAAAGAACAGGGAATGCGAACTGGCCACAAAACCACAAACTAACTAACGTTCTTGCTTGTGGTTTAGTTTTCTCACGCCTGATTGGCTTTTCTCTTGCAAAACAATAGCATTCCAGAAATATTTCTTGTGTTCACTGTTTTCCAGGTTTGACTGTAATATTTCTTTCCAGGATGTGGTTCATACACGATTGTATGGTAATGAAAGAACTAAATGGACCATTAAAATAAGGAACTCTTTCCCTGTTTCTGCAAAAGGTCCAGAAACCTTGTGAAGTCTGTCTTTTTTGGGAACTTACTTCTTTGCCTTGTAAGAAGCAAGTTCTTCCTGAAGAACTAAACAAAGCTGACTGCTGTCAATATCTTCAGCATCTTTCTGTTCTGCTAAAACACTGCACAGGGTTCTACGGTAAACGGAGAAAAATACGGAAAGTCAGGTAAGACATGACATAACATATTTGGACTAACAGAATCTCATACTTTTTAGAAAAGGGCTCCTCACTGAAGGATTCATGCAGTTGTAATAAAATATGACATCTTCATGTGTTCTCAATCAGTGGCGCGTGCGTGGTTTTAATCAAAATTAATTTTTTAACAAAAATTTCTGACAAACCTTGATCTTTCAGCTTGTCTCTTTTCATCTTGCATACTTTTCACCAGTTCATGTTTCACTGTGGTCCATTGTTTGATCTGCTTCCTTAAGACATTTGCATCAAAACCAGTTTGAAGTGTTATAAGAACCTGAGTGGTAGCTGTTGTCAGTGCACCAACCATCTGTTTGGCTCGTCGCTGACAGTCAGTCAGCAGTGCAAATTTTGTTAGGAGCTTCACCTAAAAGAAATCAGTTCTATTATTAATGACGGCATGACAGGACTGAAGATTACTGTAAGACCCATCTAGTGGGTTAACATCACAAGTGTTTGCTTCCATTTCTCAGAAAAAAAGAAAACCATTGATGTGGCATTTTATGCACAGTGCAAAAAAAAAGAATAACAAGTATTTAATACCCAATATTAAAACAATGATTGATGAGCACTAGTAACTGTATCATAAGGATAAATTTGGTAATAATCACTACTGGGCTTATCAAAATGGTACATCATTTACCTTGTGGCACAAAATGTTAGCGGGATATAATTTTTGTGATTTTTCCGGCACACATATTTCCTGCAAAAAAATTCCTCCCCTGTAAATATTTTCCAACTTAAATTCTTCCAAACGATCATCAGAACAATCAGTTATCTCAGATGTTACTATAATTGAATGACAAAGAAAAGACAATAGTAATCTGTTACACTGGTTTTACATATAGTGTAGGGTACACAAACTGTTGCATTGTTTGAAACTTTCTTCACTGTATGCATTTCCATTGTGCATACTTAATAAAAAGGAAAATATTAACAATGACTGGTCTTGGACTTTCTGAAATCGCAAAAATCAATTCTCAGCAAGAAAAACCAATCTCTTCTAATTGCAAAATTGGTTCCCGCAAAACACAAAAATTGCAAACTCCCACAAAAATTTCATGCCACAAAGTATGAAAGAAAAATTACAAGGGTTAAGGCCATATTACCTCCACAGTCCTTGTAAAAATTTCCTCATCAGTCTTGCCAGCAAAGCACCATACTCTTAGCTCTTCACAAGCAATAGCTAACAGAGGAACTCCTTCAGTAAAGCAATCTCTCTGATATGACACACAACCCAAATTGTACACATTGCAGCCTAGCCAGCGGAGCTCGTTTGGAGACAATGGGATGTCTGGATCATCAAGGGCAGAATGAATTACAGAGTTTGCTTGTTCCACTACTGGAATACAGTCCTTAAAGATCTGACATCTGCATAGTATAAATAAAGAATGTGTTAACATTAACAGTACAGTAAACTGTTTCAAGATTGATACCCAGTAACGTTTGACTCTGTAGTTCTTTGTAACGGTCCAACAACAGCTGTACATTCATTCATTCCCCTATTCTTTATAGATATTCTTACCAGATTTCTCTCAGTCTCTTTGGACCTTCCCAGACCCAGACTGCTTACAGTACAGCTTCCCCAAAATGCTATCTTGTGAGAGATATTGCCTACAGTGTATATCCCCATTTGTGTGCGGCACAAAAAAGACAAATTCTAGAGATGTTTGTAATTTTGTTTCAAGAATCGTTAGGCTGATTGGCAAGAGTTGAGGATACTGGATATGCAATAAAAGTTTGAGCAGTGTTACATGTATAATGTTATGGTTCAAATTTATCCTTGGTTTAAATTTTATTTCCCAGGGTGCAAAGAAAGTCATTTTTACAGCTTGTCATTTGGGCAAGCTGAAGCTAGCATTTATTAGCCCAAACGTCATTTCAACTAGCCCCCCAAATTTTTTGATTAGCAGAATTGATTTCACAGTTCTTCTGTAAGTTGAATTCCTCAACATACTTCACTTGCCCATCGGGCAAGTCAAGAACAGAATTCACTAGCCCGATGGCAAAATCCACAAGCCCCGGGCTATCAGATGCTACTTTCTTTGCACACTGTTTCCCTTTGTTTTTCACTCATTTTCATCTATTAACATGCCCCAAAACAAAGAGAAATAAAAACACAACATAATCCTTTTCTTAAACTACAGTGTGTACACTGTAGTTAACTGTTTTAAATGTTGTGTGATACTACTGACCTTGAATCTCTTATTGTGCTTTTTGCATCTTTTTCACTCTTCAACTGATCTTGATATGAAGAAATAACAAAACTAAATACTGTCATTTGCCGTTCTGTGGTCTTTAGAACCTGTTGTTTCAGCTGTGCCACGATATCATCATGTTTGGATTTAAGCAGCTCTGACTTAAGCCGTGCACACTGCAAAGATAAGACTGAGATGTAAGACTGCAGCACTTGTACTGTTCCTTGGAGAGTCTTCAATGAAAGAGTGGGTGATTTCTCCTTACTCTTTTTGCTACTTTCATTTTGCAAATTAATTCTGAAGTACTCCAGGGAGTCTGAAAGTAGTTTTAACATTGGTGAAGGTAATGTGCTACACTTCAGGATCTGGGAGATTAGCCGGTTACTTTCGAATAACATCTGCTGAAGAGATTCTTGAGTTTGAGATTTTATAGTAGAGTTTGGCAAAATAGCTGCCTTGCAGACTAAACACACACAGCAACAAACTTGTGAAGGTATTTGTAGTTTAAAATGACCATTTTTGCAATGGTTTTCATTTCCTGCAGTTTTCAACAGTTTATCAAACACAGCCAAAGCTTCTGTTGAGTTTCCAGCCTTATCACAAATTCTGCCATAATGAAATCCAAGTTCAGCTAAGAGCACTGTAAATTCTTGTCCATTTGCAATCAGTTGTTCTTGCTTGTTCATGAGTGCAATAAAAATGGTTTCAAAGAAGCTTGCTAAGGTTTTAAAATCAACATTCTTGGGCCCACAATCCACTTGAAATTTTGTCCCACATTTCAGAGTTCTATCCACTAAGGATTTTAGTGAACAATGTACATTTGCTTCTGCTTGAAAAAGTAATGAGAGCTTTCTCCAGTCTAACACAACACACAAGTGTGATGGTCGTTTCCCTGGAGGTACTTTTGCCTCCTCAAGCTTTCCAGCTCCTTGAAGTAACAAATCAGATGAACGTAAACAAAGTGATCCAATTTCCTTCTCCATCTTTTCACTGTCATAGCTCTTCCATGCCTTAAGAAGCTGGATGAATTTATATAGGTCATTAGCATGATCCAGAGCACTTTCAAACTGTGCCTTGGTAATGAGCTGAGCAACAATAAGGTAAAGTGTTTTTGCAAGCTGATCTACCGAAGGAATAAACTTCAGGTAGTTTCCATGACAGAGTGATAAAGTGTTGTTGAGAAGTCTCCCCACTGAAATATGAACAGAACAATTTGCACGTTACATGCAACTTTATAGCCCTCTATTAATCTCACACTTAAAGCAAATGTGGTTTGCTTATCGGACAACTTCTATTTGACCCATATTTAAGCCTTACTGGCTCTGGATTATCAGATAGCACTTTGTTGTGCCCTGCTTACACCATGTTGAAAATGCTATTTCTTTGCACTGTGAAATGTGTTGTATGTACCTGGGAGTCCCAGACCATAAGTAGGTTGTAAAGTTTTATTCTTCAGCGAAATTTCCGTTTTACCTTTTTGCAGATGACACAAAGTTGTTGAATGCTGACAAAAATCTTAAATCTTTTGAAAAAAATAATGGTCTATAACAAACTGGTCAGAGTCTCGGATTGGCTCAATGCAAATAAGCTAACATTAAATGCTAAAAAATCAAACTTTGTTATCTTTTGTCCTCACCAACGTAAGATGGACCATTCGGTCAATATTCTAATGTTTGATAATATTAATCACATCCCTTGAGTGTAAGGATCATGTAAAATATCTAGGTGTCTTAGTGGATAGTCATTTGAGTTGGAAATACCACGTTGACAATGTAGTTCTAAAAATAAGTAGAATTATTGGAGTTATTGCCTGTCTTCGGCACCTCGTCCCTTTTACCAGTCTATTTAGTATTTATCACTCTTTGATACTACCCTACCTATCCTATGGCTTGGCCGCTTGGGGTCAAGCTGCTAAATCCCATTTACAAAAAATCCTCGTGCTACAAAAACATGTCCTTCGGTTGATGTATTTTTCTGAACCCAGAGCACATGCGGTGCCTTTATTTACCTACTCAAAAATCCTTTCAATAAATATGTTATACGTTGAAACAGTTTCCTCAATAATGTTCGACGTCTCATGTCTAACTGTTTCCACTAACATTAGTAATCTTTTCATTAAAGCTAATGAAAAGCATATTCAGGAGACCAGGTTCTCCTCCTCCTGCAATTTTTATATTAACCAATCGAGACTGAATCAAAACCATGGTTCCTTTGCTAGGTTCGGAGCTAAGCTTTGGAACTCAATATACGATGAAATTCGTCACCTTCCCAAGAGAGCTTTCAAAAAACATATCAATGACATGCTATTCTTGTTATTAGAGGCCGAGGACAATTATGTTGAATCACCCACTCTGCTTCAAAAAATAGCTAACTATCGAGCAAATACAGAGTTTAATTTATTAAGTATACATATCTTAATTTAGTGTCACAGTTAACTTTGCGAGTTTCAAGAAGTTGATTTTGTAAATGTTATTAATTTATGTTTAAGCTTTATTTCATTTATATATATCTAGTTATTTATTCTTTTATTTATTCATCTATTTATTTGTAATTTATTTCTGACTGCTGTACTTATTATCTCCGCCTGCCTCGACTAGCACCTGCTATTTGCGGGCGGAAATGGACTTTATATAAATGTAGATTATTAATGATAATAAAGTATGTGCATTAAGTGTGTGTGGGTGTGTGTGTGTGTGTCTTATAAATAAAACTCATTTTCATTACTAAGGTTTTGTTAGGAACTCAGAAAGGACCTTACCCCCAAACAGCAACTAAAGATGTTCACATGCTTCATCTTACCTAGTTTCAAGGCATCTGTGACCTCAATAAGGCCTTTTTCCTTGGCTTTCACATTTTTCAAGGTCTCTATAGCACACCTCAGGAACTTGGTACAAAAAACGGCGTACTTTGATACAGTTTCCTCTGTAGCTTTGCCTCCTGCTTGGCAGCCATTTTTGTTCTTTAGCGGACATTGCAGTGGAGCAAGATAATTCTGCAAGTTCCACCGAACAATANTGGTACAAAAAACGGCGTACTTTGATACAGTTTCCTCTGTAGCTTTGCCTCCTGCTTGGCAGCCATTTTTGTTCTTTAGCGGACATTGCAGTGGAGCAAGATAATTCTGCAAGTTCCACCGAACAATATTAAAAACAACATATCAAGGGTGAATGCTACCCCATTTAAAATATGGAGTTAAGAAAAATGAGAGGCTGTAGCAAAAAAGACGTCTAAATTAAGTGTAATTTATTAATCTGAGGTTCGCTTTCAAGTGACACTCATTTTATGACCTGCTCATGAATGTAGATCCGCGCGATTCTTGCAATTGAAGAGTCTAACAAGACGCTCGCTTTGAAATGAACTAAGTTTTTATTCAAGGAAACGTTTTTGAAAGTGAGTAGCCTTACAAATCGTAAGTATCTTCACTAACTGAGCTTTAAAGTGTCCTCAATTAATCTACCATAATTTCTCAGCAGCTTAAATTTAGCAAACAGCTAAGTTTGATAAACTTACCTTTGTATCCTCATAAAGACCATCTATCTCTCTGTTTAGAAGTGATTTGAGGATTCTTTCCCCTTGCATGTTTCTGTAAAGCTCTGCCCATTACCAGTTCGTTTATAACATAGTGTTTTACAGCACACTTTTGATGGTGAAACTCATCAAACGAGTCAAAAATGGCGCCTTCGTGCCTTCTGCCAAACAACGCTCGTTCCCAGGGCACCGCGCATTTCAAGAAGATTTTGTCGTGACGCAACGTGCGTGACGACTCAAAAGTTGTGTGACAACTGAGCCATCCCGTTGTTACTGGCTGATTAAGACTATTTTTGGTCCTGTCAGCACAATTTTTGCTTTAAATAACATTTGATTCTAATTATAGTCACTTTCTTAACGTCAAATCAGGAGCCTCGAAGTTCTTCCCGACTAGCGGCAAAATTTTCAAGTCGTTTTTTTCCAGTTTGTTTTTATTAAGGTTAAGCCGGGAGGTTAAGTTTATTGTTTTGCCATCAGTTTTCAGCTAAGTACAAAAATATATAACTTCTATGTTGTCCTCGCAAGGTGGGGCCTTTTTTCTAAAAATGACAGATGTTTGGGGGTTGAATCTCAGACGTCCGAGATCGTTCCCAGCCCCTTTGCTTCTCTTCCTTAGGAGAAGAAGAAAAGCTAAGAGCCCAGATGGACCTTACACGAGAAGTCTGCGAATGGTGAAAAATATATCCTGGAAAGACAAGCAAAACACTTGCAAGGGCTGCAAGAGGGAGCTAATCCGACAACTGCCTACATAAAGACATTGCGGAGGGATATTGGCATGGAGAACGTTAGAGATCTTGTAGCCCTAGATACATATACCACCGTCTAAAATCGCCTAAATATGTTTCTGGAAATTCCGAATTTTTTTTCTACATATCTTGAAAAAGTTCTAAAAATCTCAAAAATTATTTGGCCTCATTTCACAAATAGTACAGTAAAAACACCAAAAATTAGCCTGTCACCTGAATTAGCAACACAAATTTCAGGAAATGACGTTTTTGTATATTACAGCAGACAACAAAACTCTAAACAACTTCACATAAAGTTGGCCTTATTTCAGTACCCCGCAGCCTCCAAGAAGACTAGGGCGCTGCACTTCAGTACAGGGAGAGTACCTGAAAGACGATTTGGTGCTGGAGGTCTAAAGCGGTCCTAAAGGGACACTACTGTTTCGTCCGTGCGTGACTCAGAGGGAACCTCATCAGGAACTGTATGAATTACTGCAGCTGATCTTTCAGCATCAGCCATTTTGTTAAACATTAGCCACATGACATATATTACTAGCAGTTTCCAGTGGCAAGTGAAGTGCTGGGAGTAAATGAGGCAAGACATTTCAAATAACTTGCATCAGTTGCAGTTTATTTAGTCTGCTTTAGTGTCGTCACGCAACGCTCCTCCTCACTTGATCAATTAAAAATAAAATACAACAAAGCCTGGCTGAATTCAAATTTAGCCAAAACACCGACTGAGAAACATATTGCTTCAATTCATGGGAATTTACCTTCACTTGCATTCATCCTCTTCGCTTGCAAAAACGTGGCTTTCTATACGAAACAGGATTTCTCCCGGAGTCACACCCTATTTGGGTTCTGAGTGTTCTTTTGTTTTCTTTCTGAATCGTTTGACTGCGAACGAAAGAGCCTCGATTTCGAGGGTCCTTCTTGAAATGGAGGCAAATGCGGTGCTATACATACAACAGCATATCTCGGCTCGATTACTAGCCGCTGTTCAAAAATGAGCCCGCGCTCCTTCTCCTCCCGGGGAGGACCGAGAGAGCGGCGGAAATAGAGCCTGGCTGATGTCGTTAACAAACGAATACCTAGAGTTCTTGTTTTCTTAATATGAATTGTAAAACCTTCCTGAAAACGACTGTTGAAACTTTCTCGTACTCTCAAGATAAAACACATGCAAAACATCTGCAAACACTTGAGTAGTAGGGCTTCAGCAAAGATAAGCCTCGTTGGTGCCTTCCCTTGCCTTCCGTATGCCTTCCCTTAATTGATATGCATAAGCCTATGACGTCACCTTGGAAAGAAGTGTCTTCCTGCATACTAATTTGGATTAGGTTTACTAATGAGCGTCACTCTACTACAATAGGAACAATAGGCTTGCCTAGACCTGCCCGGGCTCTTTTAACCCTGATTGGATAGTAAACAATTTTATTCTTGCAATCGCTTTGCTAAGGAAAAAGTCTTATTATCACCAATATTACTCCAAACATACAAGTCGAATCGAGCTGTAAACTTGTCTTACGTTTTCTCCTTTCTATCTCGAGGAAATGAAAGTCTTGTCATTTTCACGCACGGTTAATCAGTTAATTATGCGAGTTCGCAAGCCCAAAGTTGAATACAAATTAGCTCTACAGGAAAGACCCAAGGGAGAGAATCTTGACGTATTATTATAAAACAAATAACTTAACAAGGATCAATTAAAACACGCGACTCATAATTGCTAGCAATAAAAAACACAAGAGAGATACCGTTTCAAAAAAAACTTTGTTAAAAAACAA